GGAGTATTTGACTGACTAGATAAGCCAGATAAATTACCAGAACTGAACTTGGAATTAAAATGTGAGGGTGTGGACTTCCCTTTATTTAAAAATGAAACTTTGTGGGTTAAAGAATAATCATCAGCTAGACGGGCAGCTTCTTCTAAAGTTTCTACCTGTTTTTCATCTAAGAAAGATTTAACATCAGAGTGAATACAACGTTTAAACTCTTCAACTAACATGAGCTGTCTGAGCTTTTCATGATTTTTATTTATTTTCTTAGATAGATACCACCGATCAAAAAGTTGCTCTTTTTCTCTTGCAAATTCGACATGGGTTTGACCAATTTCTTTCTTAGAATTTCTGAATTTATGTCTGTAGGCCTCTGGTACTAACTCATAACCTTTCAGAATTAATTCTTTTACATAATCATAATTAGAGCTTTGTTCAACAGTAAGTTGTGTATAGATTTCACGAGCTTTACCAATTAAGACACTCTGTAAAAGTAATGTCCAGTGCTCTCTTGGCCATTTTAAATTTTCAGCAACCTTTTCAAAATGAAGAAAATACTTATCAACTTCTTTTTCTTGGAAAGGTGGAACAAGCCTAATATTTTTAGTGACATCAAATTTTGAATTGATTCTATGTTCAAACTGATTTGCTCTCTCTTTGATTTCTAATTCTCTCATTCTTAACTGAAATTCCCTTTCCCTTTCTTTTTCCAACTGCCTTTCTTCCCTTTCTTTTTCTAATTTTCTCTCTTCCCTTTCTTTTTCAAACTGCCTTTCCCTTTCTTTTTCTTCCCTTTCTTTTTCTAACTGCATTTTCTCTAGTTCAAATTTAAATTGAAGTTCAAGCTCTCTTATCTTTATTTCAGAAATTTCAGAGTGTTTTTCAACAATGTGAGAAATTGCATCTTCTCCAAAAATATCTTCATCTACAAAATAATGAATCAGAAGATTTTTAATTTCTTGTTTACGCATTGAAGATTTAATTTCTGATAAATTATACTTTTTTGCAAGATCAAGCAAATCAGTTTTCTTAGCCAATTCTAATACCTCCTGGGAAGGTTCAGCTACAAACTTTTCTAAATTTAAAGACATGACTGCTTGCTGCTGGTTTTAAACTCAGAAAGTGATGTGTTTCAAAAATTTCAAAATTGAAAGGCACACTTAATAGAACAACTATGATATCAACTCAGATGAGTAAATACGGTAATAATAAAATGTAAAATAAACGGTAATAATTTCCAAAAGAAATATTCAATCCCGGACGAGCCCCCAATTTCTGTTACGAGCCAGGCGTAACGAGAAAGAAAAGCCAGCAACAAACTTGTAACAATAACAAATTTATTACAGAAAAATTATTAAAGAAAAAATCAAAATAACAAATTATGTTTACAAATACCTGAAGTCCAAATAAAAATGTAAATCTTAAATGTCTAGTCTGATCCTGGAATGATCCTTTTTTGAATAGCACACTTAAATCCAAGTAAAATCCAAGAACACTTTAGAATAAATTCCCACAATAAAATCTATTCCCACAAGAATAATTTAAACTATTTTAAAAATATCCAAGCTCCAATAAATCACTTTATATCCAAGTTGAATAATACTCCAAATATATTGATTTCTTAAAAGGTAACTGATGACTTAAAAAGATCACTGATGACTTAAAAGATAATACGAAAGAAAAATGTCTCCTATATATATTAAGCTAAGAAGTTTCTAGAATAGTCTTCCATTTACTACAGTTATCATAATCTAGCAACTTCAACAATAAAGATCATTCCGGAAATTTCTATCTAATTATAATGCATGAGTTTTCTACAACAGTTAAGAAAGTTCTAGTACATACATGTAGTTTATGTTCTAAAAATAGAACAATGATAATATTTGAAATACCAACTGGTCAGATATAAACTATATACATGTAATATGTTGCATACATAACAACATCAACATAGAATGAAATTAAATAAATTAATGTAAATATGTTACCCCCTTTATAATAACTAGAAATAGGTATAATCCAAATTTTAAATAGTTCATCACCAGATTCTTTTATCAAAGGATCTGGATTTAAATCAGATTGAAATATGTGTGCCATTCAACCCCTAACTTTCGGCACATAACGCTAGTTCGTGTGTAAAGCTTCAATGTATTATTACAAGCTGACAGATTTATAAATCTTATTTTAAGACCTCTATCCTATAAGACAAATAAATCAATATAAAATGAATTGATTATAAATTGCGACCCTGAGATATAACTAATTTAAATAAATAATCGTCTGCTATTGTTATCCAAGTTAAAAAAAAATTGTCTACTCCTTTCCCTTTTTTAAGATTACAATTGGCATTAACTACAAGATATTACTTTAAATTCTAAACAATCATACATGAAGATTATTTACGCCCCGCGGCTCCCTGTTTCTAGAGATATTTATAAAATCTAACATACATGAAGATTATTACGCCCCGCGACTCCCTGTCTCTAGAGATATTTATAAAAAAAACTAACATACATGAAGATTGTTTACGCCCCGCGGCTCCCTGTCTCTAGGGATATTTATAAAGCCTAATATACATGAAGATTATTTACGCCCCGCGGCTCCCTGTCTCTAGAGATATTTATAAACCTAACATACATGAAGATTATTACACCCCGCGGCTCCCTGTCTCTAGAGATATGTATGAAAACTAATACACATGAAGATTATTTACGCCCCGTGTTTCCTTGTCTCTTGAGATATTTTTTAAAACTAACTTAAATGAAGATTATTTACGACCCGCGGCTCCCTGTCTCTAAAGAAATTTATGTAAACTAACATACATGAAGATTATTTATGCCCCGCGGCTCCCTGTCTCTAGATATATTTATAGAAACTAACATACATGAAGATTATTTACGCCCCGTGGCTCTCTGTCTCTAGAGATAGTTATGAAAACTAACATACATGAAGATTATTTACGCCCCGCGGCTCTCTGTTTCTAGAGATATTTATAAACAATAACATACTTGAAGATTATTACGCCCCGCAGTTCCATGTCTCTAGAGCTATTTATAAAAACTAACATAAATGAAGATTATTTACGCCCCGCGGCTCCCTGTCTCTAGAGATATTTATAAACACTAACATACTTGAAGATTATTACGCCCCGCTGCTCCATGTCTCTAGAGCTATTTATAAAAACTAACATAAATGAAGATTATTTACGCCCCGCGGCTCCCTGTCTCTAGAGATATGTATCAAAAAACTAACACACATGAAAATTATTTACGCCCCGTGGCTCCTTGTGTCTTGAGATATTTTTCAAAACAAACTTAAATGAAGCTTATTTACGCCCCGCGGCTCCCTGTTTCTAGAGATATTTATGTAAACTAACATACATGAAGATTATTTATGCCCCGCAGCTCCCTGTCTCTAGATATATTATAAAAACTAACATACATGAAGATTATTTACGCCCCGTGGCTCTCTGTCTCTAGAGATAGTTATGAAAACTAACATACATGAAGATTATTTACGCCCCGCGGCTCTCTGTCTCTAGAGATATTTATAAACAATAACATACTTGAAGATTATTACGCCCCGCAGTTCCATGTCTCTAGAGCTATTTATAAAAACTAATATAAATGAAGATTATTTACGCCCCGCGGCTACCTGTCTCTAGAGATATTTATAAACACTAACATACTTGAAGATTATTACGCCCCGTGGCTCCTTGTGTCTTGAGATATTTTTCAAAACAAACTTAAATGAAGCTTATTTACGCCCCGCGGCTCCCTGTTTCTAGAGATATTTATAAAAACTAACTAATATGAAGATTATTTATACCCCGCGGCTCCCTGTCTTTAGATATATTTATAAAAACTAGCATACATGAAGATTGTTTACGCCCCGCGCGGCCTGTCTCTAGAGGTATTTATAAAAACTTAAATACATGAAGATTATTTACGCCCCGCGGCTCACTGTCTCAAGAGATATTTATAAAAACTAACACACATGAAGATTATTTACGCCCCATGGCTCCCTGTCTTTAGAGATATTCATAAAAAAATATGCTTTCTGGTACTTAAAACTAAAAGTGACTCATTTCTGAAAATGGTGACTTTTTCTAGTAATGACTATCATGCTCCTCTTGTTTTATATATTCTTTCATTTGAGGACAAGGCACATTAAATACATAATAATTATATCAATATGAAGTGCATTTGTAAATTTAAAGTAGTTTCTATATAATTGTTATTAAAGTAAAGATAACATATCTTAAACTTCAATTGACAGATTGGCAACAAGCAATTTCATTAAATGCATGCTGACACCTCAAGTCCTCCCTTCCAGTTATTGTTGGTCTTGCATATTTCCTTGGGTGCTTTTCTTAATAATGACATTCAGGTGGTCCTGTTCTAGTAAGTCAATCTGCTTTTTTATCCCCCGCCGAAAAGGCGGCGGGGGATATAAAAATAGTCTCCGTTCGTCCTTCCTTTCGCAAGAAAACACGTGCCAAAGAATAACGTCATTTTAGCACACTTTATGAATGAACCGCTTGAAAATGACGTCATTTTAGAAGGGAAATATGTGCTGAGGATGACACCATTTCGCCATTGTTATTTAAGTTGTAAGTTCATACGCTATTGTAAGAAAAAATAACTGATGAAATGACTTTAAATTCCATGAACATATATCATATTGGGGTAATCCATTTTAAATATGAAATAATATGACAGAATATGCCAGAAAAAAAATATCTGACATATGTTTGCGGTTCGGATCGGAATATCCGTCCCTCGGCAAGCCTCGTGACCGCCCAATGGGCGGGGTCCCCTCGGGACGGATATTCATCTTAAGTATATTATGTTTAATACGTTGCCATTGTTGACTTGATACTTTGATAAGCAGAGTGATACGTTCCATAAACTTTGATTTAAATTTTTGTTCTTTGCTTTCATATAAATATTGTGTTGTCAGTAAACGTGGAAGATAGCTTACATAATCAACTTCAATTCATGAATAAGGCCTGCAACGTTTTCAATCTGATCATGTTGGACGATATTGAAAGTTTAAATTTTGATTTTTATTTCGCAGGTTAATAGCTGGAACAATGTCAACACAACGTTTATTATTCGTTGAAAATTACAAATATTTCATGAATTGGTCGGACTGTGTTGAGGGTATAAAAATCACAGGGCTTGCCATGTTTCTTTTCATGAAAACAAAGGTGGAGGAAGAAGAAGGCATTAAACCGATCTTGAAAGACGTTCGATTGTTTTTTGAGCATAATAAGCAATACATGAAACAAGTTAGTGATAAAGTATATATGATAAGTCACTCGCATCGCTGTTGCTGTACAAAATGCACGCCTTTGTTCAATATCATTGAAGAAAAGTTTATTCAACCAGGTTATCCGATTTATATAGAAGATCCGAAAGAAGTAGAAGATCCAAGTTCGACTTTATTACGAATGTGTTTAAATGACAAAGAAATACGTACAAAGAACTTAATGGATGGTGACTTGAAAAATGTGTGTAAAGTGATGGATCGATGTCAGCTTATTAAGACTCCAGAAAATATAAAAGAGGTATTTACTTTCAATTATTTAAATTGCACCTTAAAAAAACTATATTGATGAATTTAAGGTCAAGTTTATTTATGGTTTATCTGGGTTCATAAACTAAATTATTGATTTTGCAGTTTCTAGCTTAATGTTGAATATTGTTCATCTGGGATAAACATCTAGGTCACGAAGCCGAAAAAAAACCCCAAAAAACTATTGCTTATATATTGATACTATTTTCAGCTTAGTTATATGGAAAGATGTCAGACAAGTTGATGCAATAATTTCTAGCTTAAGTTCGCAAATGGGTCGTCTGGTGTCAAAAACAAGGTCAAAGAGCCTAAATATAATAAACATCTGGTTAGAAATAAGATTCCCGACCCAAATATTTTCATTCCAAATGTCTTTAAAATTGGTAAGGGTTGTTTTGTTGGTTCTAAATATCTAGTTCTAGAGGTAGCATTTAGCACAAAAATCATGGAAATTTGCCAGAAAGGTAATTCAGATTTTGGTCATCTTGGGAAAACAAACTTCTTTACATTTGCAATATTTCAGATGCAGATATGAACGTTGTGATATCAGTTTAAGATCAAAACATTTTATCATTCTTCGTTCTTTCTTAGTTATTAATATTTAGTGTTCCTTTTCATTAAAAATCATAATGATAAGACGAGCGATATATGTGCCATAATGTTTATAATGTAACTTGAGAGTAAAAAGGTTCGCGATTTTAAAATAAATACATGTCGCGTTAAATGACTTCAGTACATGTTATTGAAAAATTAACGAGAAATCAGTTTTTCAAGATGTACTCAGGATTTCATCATTGGCTTCATTTTTTATACACCGGAAAATTCTTTAGGACGTAATATGTCATGGCGTTGTCCGTCCGTCTGTATGCACTAACGAAATAGACAAGGGCTATCTAACAGTAAACATAACAAAAGTTTATTTCGTAAAAGAACAATAAAGGGCCTTTTTTCCGGGCTCGAAGAATTTTCCCGTTTCACTTTGCCGTTTACCGTACACCCAAATTTTTTGCGCAGGGTATCTTTTTTAAGGATATTAAAAGAAATTTTGTTGATACCTGGTTTAAAATTTTGGGGTTAAAAAATTTTGGTTTTGCAAAGCCTTTTTATATCAAAGAGGGGTGTTTAAAATTTGTCATTTTTCACGTTAGTTATAAATCTGTATCCAAACAAAGTTGAATTCATTTATCGCTGCAATAAATAATTTTTGATAGAGTTATGCCCAATATTTATACATTTGGTTTTATAAAAATCATTTTTGCAAGATAAATTTTGAAGGATTTCAATGATTGTGATCGGGCATGTACAATGTTTATATTAAGACACAACATAAATTTGTTTTTGTTGCAATCAACATATTGACAAAGTTATGCCTTTTTTAAGCAATTATCATTGAAATTATTTGTTTTCGTAGGATAAATTTAAAAGGATTTAACTTATTTTGTTTATGTTTGGCAGATCATCATGTAATATCAAAACAAAACTGATGTTCAATTTGCACTTTCATCAGCATATCATTCAGAAGATTAAGTCCCCATTTAAACAAATTTGATGTGAACCAATATAACTTTGTTTCAATCATTATAATGCAAATTTGATTTTAATAAGGCAAATTTGAAATAATTGATTTTTGAAGAATATTTTTTGCTATGTCATAATGAAATCAAGTAAGTTCATTTTTTGTCTTTTATCTCTAAAATGTATATTGTTTTCTTTCACATTGAAAAGAAAAATCATCATTTGTGCTATTGAAATTAGTAAGTCTGCTATCTATCTGAAATGGCATGTTTTGTCTTTAGAATTTGCCATCGAATATATCGAGTCAGTTTTGTTCAGGGTTTATCATCTTAAAACCTGATAAATATTCAGCAGATTAAGGGTGTGTCGGGGAAAATATAATGGTCAATCAGAGACTTTTTGTATTGATGAAATGATATTCAAAAATACTTATCTGATAAATACTACGTTCAAAAGTCATGTGGTCTTGAAAAATGAAAGAATATAAGTCGTAGTGCTATTACTTTTTTGCAAAACATTGACAGTTTTAGGCGGTATACTGGAATATATTTCTCTGTTGGTTCATTTGACTGGGTGTCGGGATTTTTATTTTAAGTGATAAACCGAAAGTATTTGAGTTATCAACGAAATGTGCCAAGAAAAATAACTTAAATTGTGTACTTTTTAACATAGATGCCCTTGTCAGCTTTATGCGACAATGCTGTAATAAAAAAGTTGAAATGTAGTAAATATAAATATATTTCAGGTTATTGACTACAGAAATAAGGTGATGCACTCGAGTTCAAATGAGTTATCAGATAGCTTAAAAGACACATATTTAACGGAATTCGAAAACTTATTACGTGCCTATTACACTGACGTCGTCGACGGATTCCTTAAGCTGGTAAATACTTTAATTTTAAATTATTTTATCTTACTGTAACGATATTTGAATTTTGCAGAAAGCTTATTATAAAATTTGCACATGTCTCTCAGGGTAAAAATGCATATAAACAACCCTTGAACTCCGTCTCGGGGGTAATTTCAGTTTAAGCGTTACTTATGAGAACTTTTTTCTTGAGAGGCATAAGTTATTGTTTAACTACACCGAAACAACATTTGAATGTATTTTTTTTCACCGATATGCATTATTACTCCGAGAGCCATTCATCATCAATTGATGTCAGAGGATAAAACTAGAACATTACGTTTTCTATAAACACTACTTTTCTCTGGGGAATATTGTAAAATGTGATATTCATATCCAGAATAAAACCATGTAACGTCACATGAGGCTATTGCATAAGAAGTAATGTATAATGAAAAAAAAACTAGTGTGTATACTGGATGAATACATTATTAAAAAAAATGTTTAAAGTTGTATTCACATCCCTCATTTGGGTTAAATGTTCATCCCGTACGATAGAACCACAACTCCTGAAATATTCCCTATAATTACTTAGTTCGCCCTAAGTGTTCACAAAAAAATATCTCAAAGCGCTTTCGGGAATTTGTAAAGATTATTCAACATTTTTCTTATTAGTTCTTACTTGAAGAATCATTTCTTTTGAGGGGAAAACGTTCTGATTATGATCATTCATTAAATTTTCATTGAACATTTCCCCCCTGACACTGACAGCGATGATGGCACGTTGAAATACTGCGCCAATTAAGTGATTAATTGGCTTTTATGATAAAAAAAATCTGGCTATACAAGTGGTTCTAATGCGTTGGACAGAATATAACAAATAAAGTTGTATTTTCATGAAACGCAAACGAATGAATAACGAGAAATGAGCACTGATATTAGAGAAAGCATTTACATTTATAGCAGAATTCAATATAAATTTGTATTTCGAGACAACTGATGATCAATATTAATCAATATCTGGTTAACTGTGGATTCTAAATCAGTTCAAAAATCAAAACTCAAAATTATTTACAGTTGAATATTGAGCTAACGTCGAATTTTAAGGAAATTCTCAATTAAAGCTGCATGCCTCCAGATGAGCCAAAATATTTCAAGAATATAAAACTTGAGAAAAATGTATTGAGGTTTTATGAAAAGTAAAAATACTAAAGATGAAAGTAATGATTTCCATGTTATTTGCGATTGATGGCCACTTTTTCAGAAATTTTCATCATATTTCTACTGCGTTACTAAGGGTTAATTTTGAATATTTTGACCTCTTTTTGTAATTTACATTGGTTGTAAGTGCCGTTTGAAATGTGCATATTATTTTCTCTGTCAGCTTAACAATTTCCAAAATTTTCATGAACGTTAGCAGGAATCTGGAGGCGTGCTGGTTTAACGTTTGATGAATTTTGTTCTGCAGAAAAATTTTAACCCAGCTCATGGATAAAATTTCAAAGTTCACATTAGTTGAGTATTGCGCCCGAGTTAATTTCGAAGAATCTCGAAAATCGAATTAAAAACACTTTGGATGTAAGATGTGTGCTTTAGTAATTTCAAACTAGCAAGAAGATCGAATTTTAAAGGATTTTAAAATTGTAACTTACTATTTAGCCAGCTCAAAGATCAAAATTCTAATTTGAAAATAATTAAGGGAATTTGATTTAAACTTCTCTCTGTGAAAGAGATATTAGGAGCAATTATAGTACACTAAAGAAATAATTTACCTTGCTTATTTTTTTATATCCTCTCCCTATTTATACATAAATATTTAAATAATGGTTGTCGGATTATAACTTCTTCACTATCAATAATCTCTCAATAAAACTTCACACAGTTTCAAAGACAGACTAGTTACAGGAAGTGCACTCTTGAAGAGCCATAATCCTCATAACTAAGTTTTTGACTTCTCCCATTTTGACACAATTTAACGCCTGTCCGGGAAAGTTGAAAAAAAATATTAATTTGAAAAGTATTGAAAAAGAAATTTTCTTGACAAAATATAGGAAATAAGTATAACAGTTAATTATGATGAATTGTTAATTTTTCTTTTAAATACATTAAAAGCAATTATTATTACATAGCAACAGTATGTTGTTAATTATTCTTTTTATACATTAGACAGCAATTGTTATTATATAGCAACAGTATGAACATATTTTTATCAGATTTCATGACGATGATTTATTAGAATTTTATCTTAGGCTTATATCGGGAATGACCCTCAAAATGGTGGTAAGGGAAGGTAATAGTTGCTCCAAGCAATAGCTATAGACCTCTGTATGCGCGCGTGTGTGTGTGTGTGCGTGCGTGCGTTTGCGTGTGTGTGTCTGTGCGCGCGCGTGTGTGTGCGTGCATGCGTGCGTGTGTGTGTGTGTGTGCATTCTCATTCTCATGCCAGTGACTTCTTATAACAATGACAACAAGTGACTCACATAGCAACCTTTGACTTTTTATAGCAACCATTGACTTTCCATAACAACCAGTGACCAATTTCAAAGCAAACTGTAATTTGCTACTTGAATAGCTTGCCAATATGAAAGAATCCAAATTTACAGAAACGTCGGTTGTTATACTAAGGTGCCCGTTCGTGCCTAATATCAGGCACGAAAAAAAGAGAGCTACTGAAGTCTTCATCCATTTGTAACGTGCACGGGCTAGCTGTTATATATAATTTTTCTTATGGCTACTTTGCCAGTTGATTGGTTACAAATGATTATACAATAATTTGTTTAAACTTTGGAATCAAGTTTAATTAGCTAATGTTATAACAGTAATGTGCTTGAAAGATAATAAGTGGTCCTTGAACGTGATATAAAATTGGGGTGACACTTTTTAGGCTATTTAATATATATAGAAAAACCACTTGGATATCGAGTTTTCAATACTTTAGTAATAACAATTACACCTAACGCAATGTTAAATTGATGCAATTGAAATACTTCGTAAATAGTGCAAGAACCCAAGTAATTAAACTGAAATATTAATTATTTCTGTGTTGTTGACACTTCGGCAGCTGGACAGAGACTGATCGTCCACAGCTTTGAGCTCTATTTATACCCAATAACGTAGTTGTATTTAATAATCGTTTGGTGAAGTTGAGGATCTCAAGCATCCAAAAGATATTGATAATGGGTCGAATATTGGTACGAATGACATTGAGTTCGAATGATTTTAAGGACGAATTGTTCTGACATTTTAGAAATAATAAAAATATGCCCCATTATATCAAATTATTGCTACAAATAAGTTGTTAAATCTATTCATTTAGTTTTTATGTATTTTTTACTTATTTATAAAAGATCAAACTCTAATTTTAAACACAATATAGCATATTTGTTTACAATTTAATTTACCGACAATTTAGGTACAAAACCACTAAATATCATTACAGAATCAAGGCTGAAGAGGACATCGTCACACATTTATAATGCTGGAAAGTTGCCATATGATCTATATTATGTTGTTGTGATGAAACACCAAATCACTTTAAACTCCTTGTAAAATATGAAATACTTTTACCGTCTAGTTTTGATTTTATTACACTTTGAAAATATCAGGTACCATATTTATTACTAGATTTAGCATAATTTAGCCAATAAATACCTATATAGATTGAAAATCAAAATTAAACACTTTTTTTCCAAATGGGACATGAGAGATACATAAATAATGTTAAAAGAAAAAGAAAGAAAGAAAAACAAGTTGACCCTTCTGGGGATTGAACCCACGGCCCTCATTTTCAATATAGTTAACAGTAGTTCTAGCCTATTTGAATACTCTTCAAAGCGGAGGTAATGCATTAGAATGGTAATACCTTAAACATTACATAATGCTTATAATATATAAATACATCAGTGTATCAGAAATTATGAAATACAGAATGTATACGATACACACAAAAATATTAAGAGAAAGGTAACATTAACATTGGTCGCATATTTCTTTTCCACAAATGGCTATACAATACCAAGGTTAGCTCAACCGTCTAAAGTGATCTGTAACACTTAAAAACTTTGTACTGACAAAATAGGTACGTTCATGATTTGTATCGTCTGGAGAAGGCTAATATTTCAAATACTTTGATGACAATGTTTTCGAATGTGTGAACATTGCAATTACTCATTTAAATAAAAATTGATACAAGAAAATCAACTGCCAAAATGACGTAAACATGACTCTGCCATAACCATGGTTGATAAAGGCATACTGTTGCAGTTCTACACGTCAGTAAACGAACATAAAATGTCTTTCAAAAAATGTATGTTTCTCAGCGCAATACTTTTTTATAATAGTATTTACTATTTAAATAAGGTAAGAAACTTGTTTTATTTTCTTAAACTGGATAACAAGTTTTTTATTTCGGTGTACTATTTCTTAAGATTCTTGGCTGAATTTACTTGATAATGTTTTAGTTAGCTCATTTAGCAGAATCTTTTGATCAGCATTAAGATTCCGCTAGTATTCTGTGTTAAAATGTTTCTTATACTTTCTTTATTTATTCATAGGCAAAGAAGTTATTTTCAAACTAGTGAAAAGATTTTTTGACCGCGTTAAACAGAAGCCGGGTTATAGTATGGTGAATGTCGGGCGGGCGGGCAGGCGGGTGGGCGGATGTGGAAAAAAATTCGTAACAGTTTTGCAACTACTCTCGATATTTGATATACAGCATTAACACATGGCCCCATACCGTTGGATTTGATTTTAAGTCTTCTACACCCCTCTGTATTCCTCAGATGTATGTCTATTATGTTTCATACTGTTTTGGTGACACTTTTGCGTGTGTCCCTTGTTGTTTTCTTGTCTACTGTAAGTATCTTCCCCTTTGCCCCTAGTTTTTATTTCTTTAATTTTACCCCCCCCCCCTTCCCCAGGTCTCCCCTTTTACTTTTTGGGCCTATTATTCAATCATTTATTTGTTTTCTTTAAATTCCTTATTAATTACAAATTATTTCCTATTATTCAATCATTTAATTTTTTCTTCGAATTCCTTATCAGTTACAAATTATTTATCATTTTAGTGATTAACCTGTCCGTGCTCTGTCTTGTGCCCTGTCCTGTCTTTGTTTGGGGTCCGCCTGGGCTCATTGCTACTGGTTCTTGTTGCGGGTTGTTGTTGGGGTTGCGTTCATTGGACGCCGCCTTTCATTGTTGATCTTGTTTATCATATTTCCTGTTAACCGACTTAGTTAAATTTTCGACATTAATGAACAATGGTAGGAAATTTCCGTAACAGTTTCCTCAACTACTTATCACAACCTCCTTGATATTTGGTGTACAGAATTAACACGTGGTCCGATACCGTGGGATCGTGGGATTTGATTTCAGGTCTGTCGCTCATCCAATTCCTTTTTACCGACTTAGTTAAATTTTTTGACATTAATGGTCAATCGTAAGAAATTTTCATATCACAACCTCATGATATTTTGTATACAAGTGCAACCCGCTATTTCTGCCTTTGACCCATTTTATTTATATATTTCATGGTGGAGAAATATCGCATTTGATAAAAGATTTAAAAATAAAAAGTGTAGTTAGGATCCGAGGGTTTGTGTACACAGCCCCTGAGTGTGACTTCTTGCGTTTTTGTTCATTATCATCTCATTTGATTTTAAATTCTTGTTTATTTCTTCATTCCCGCAACTGTACTAAATGCTTAAATTCTGAGAAACAGGTTTTATTTCGTAATACTTTTTGCGAAATGTTCCGCAGAAAAATAGTGGTAGGGCTCTTTTTCTTTGAAGAATAAAAACATTATGTTACATAGAATTGTTTGTATTCTGTTGTCAATTATCCATTAACATTTAGTTCGTTAACACTCTAGTGGTACTATTTTTGCCTTTATTGTCCCAAAACATATACTAGGTCACACAGTCATAAAAGCACTCAAGAGGTGACAATTTAAGTCCGAATATTTGGTTGCTTTTATGATTTTAAGCTCAAGTTTGAATATGAGTCACCTGGGGAAAACACCTGGTCACACAGGCCATCTTATGAGAAAACCTATTTAACACTTAAGAGTTAATATTTTGAGCTAAATATCCTTGAATTTCTTTTTGAGAGAAAAATGTTTTGTAAATATCTAGCTCAAATTTGAATATGGGTCATCGGTAGTCAAAACTGATGCCATATAGCTAAAATATTGAAAACCCTTTTTATTTCTTTAAATGTAATAATTTTTGTTCAAATATTTTGGAAATTTGTCAGAATGGTAGTTTTGCTGATTTATAGATCAAGTTCAAATATGAGTCACGTAGGTCACTCACCTCAAATTTTCAAAACCTTCGTTAACATATGAACTATTTCAGATGCAAATTTGAACCTTTTGGTTTAAGATTAAGACATAATATCTCTTTTTTTATATCTCTTTTTTTTCATTGGTAACAAAATTCATCTATCCTTCTCACTGAGAGTCTTTATATTAAGAAGAACGCTAGAAGTGCTGCTATGGCCGTATTGTTTTGGAAAACATTTCATGAAATGTATCGACATACCTTAATGTGTTGGCGTTTATTAGCACAAAAAACAACGGAGATTACTTACTTGATTTGTAACGATGCACCGATGGTGCTTCAGATATTCATTTTTATTGAAAAGGCTGATAAACCATAAATAATCTTAACAAAATGATTCGGCGCTTAAATGCGCGTCATATTTATCATTATAGACTTTATTTCTTAGAAAAGAATAGATTGAAAATGGTGCTACCTGCAAGAACACCAAAAACGGCAAAAATGTTGCAGGTTACGTTTGACTGAGCTTGTTCATCAACGCACTTATATGAATCTTTTATAAATAATTCCAGGTAAATAAACAAGCAATAATAATAAAAAAGGAATCCTGAAAGAACGCCAAAAATGGCACATTTGAAAGTTCAATGAATGCAAACTACCGTGTACAGTGCCAATATGTGGCAAATGTATGTAAACGGAATTAAAAGCAATTGTCAACACGAGCTCCTGTTAAGCTCTGGTATACACTCTGTGTAATATATTCGACAAACATATAACGTCTGTATAGTTTCAGCTTAAATGTGCCCTATCTTTTACGATTTTAAATGAAAAAATTGTCCCCATCAAGATAATCATGTCCTTAAGGTATTGCCATCCTAATGGGCACTATAAGGAACTAAAAAATTGACATCATAGGTCAGATATATACCTTAAAGTACACCTGTATGCAAAATTTAAACAAAGTTTACTGTACGGAAATCAATTTATGGCCAAATTTCTGAACTCAAGCTAGGATGCTATGAGGGCCCTTTTTTAGAAATGAGGAACCTTTAAATAATCTGCAATAACATTCTAATAAATTTTTTTTCCCTTAAATGTTTGGTAAGAAGCAAATAGTACCATTCAGCTAACAATCCACATAAGCAAAATTATGGTTTCTACTTAAAATTTATGAAATCTGTATAAAAATGTTACCCTACACCACCCATTTCTACCACGTGTCTGACGATTTTCCTACTTAGGGAGCCTAATTTAAAAAATCCTTAAAATTTACCAAATTGAGTGCCTGTACATGTTTTCATAGTTTCCTTAAGTTTTTAAAGAAGTATATTGGTTGATCTTGTAAAATATGAAATACTTTTACCGTCTAGTTTTGATTATATTACACTTTGAAAATACCAGGTACCATATTTATTACTAGACTTAGCATAATCTAGCCAATAAATTCCTATATAGATTAAAAATCAAAATTAAACACTTTTTTCTTTCCAATTGGGACATGAGAGATACTTAAATAATGTTAAAATAAAAAAAAGAAATAAATAAAAAGTTGACCCTTCTGGGGATTGAACCCACGGCCCTCATTTTCAATAAAGTTAGCAGTAGTTTTAGCCTATTGGAATACTCTTCAAAGCGGAGGTAGTGCATTAGAATGGTAATACCTTAAACATTACATAATGCTTATAATATATAAATACATCAGTGTATCAGAAATTATAAAATAAAGAATGTATACGATATAATAAAATCTGAATTAGCTGAATACATTTACGGTTGGCATTCATCTTTTAATGTCTCTTCTCTACTAAATTTATCAAGATTGTGCTTGTTTACAGTTTTAAAATTCATTTGCATATGTATGTGTATATGTTCCTGACATTTTGCAAGATTTATATCTTGATAAAAAATGAGGTTCTTTAAACATTTACTCAAATTCAAATTTGAAGAATAATATGTTATAGAATTTGTAAAATTTTTGCAGAGAGTATAGATTCTTTTTGTTGTTTTAGATTGTCGATTTAAAGAGCAACAAACACCAGACTGACGACTCATTTACCGAAATTGAACGTAGCATTGAAATACAAATTAAAGTTGTAGAAAACGATCAAAGGGAATTTGAACGTTTGGGCTACAAAGTGCCAACACTTGACGATGTACTTGAGATTGTAAAAAAACATAAAGGAACGTTTGAAGATGTAAACAGAATAAAACAATTGAGAGAAGCAACACTTGATGAGGCAATTAAGGCTGGTAAAAAGAAAGGTGCTGAAGCTCTAAAAGAGGGCGGTTTTGTTGGTGAGAAACTGGGTTCAATCACTGGTGGCGCGGGAGCTTATGCTGCCGGTAATGCAAAAATGGTTTATGACGCTTTAAAAAAAAAAAGATTAGATAAATCATAAGTATTAAATGCACTTAAAAGTAAGAAATGCACAAAGCATTTAATGTTTTAACAGCGTTTACATTGATAAAAATGTTGTTCACGTAACTATCATTATGTCATGAATTCTAACACGACCCGCATTTTTCCCTATTGAACATAGAAAAGCTTATATATTTAATAATCTTTGCCAAAATATTTTTCAAGTACTACTATTCCTAAAGAATTTGCCATAAAACGTGATTTTTCATGTATATCTTAAGATGTCATTTATCAAAATGTAAAAAACAGTATGTTGGTCAAACTCAGCAAAAATGTAGTCAAAGAATGAATAGTCAAAAATTTGATATTAAACACTCTCCTGACACTAATACCAATGTACCTGAATATTTTAATTCTGAAGGGCATTCTATCAAAGATTTTTTATTCATGCCAATTGATAAAGCAAAGAATAATTGGCAAAGATTATTTAAAGACTTCATGGATGTATAAGCTAGGTACAATTATTCCTGATGGCATGAATTCCAAAATACTTTATTTATTTTGTAGATTATAATTCTTCATTTTAATTTTTTTTCTCTTTTTTTTTATAAAAAATTGTATTTCCTATTTTTTGCTTAATATGACTTAAAACTAATTTCATGTCAAAATGTAGTTTATGCTGGTTTTCTAATTTTACACTGCTTTTTATCTATTTAAATGAAAGTACTACAGTGTTGGTGTGACGTTGATTATCTTTTGTTTAAAGATTCTTCAAACAAACGTCATCATATTTTATTTCAAGATCATCATCATAAAACTGTGGCTTTTTAAAATAAGTTTTGTGTATATTTTAGAACCGTTAATAAACTTATAAAGACGTAGTTGCGACTTAATAAACCAAATTTTTTTTGGCACTTTATGAAAACAGAATGATAAATATTGATATTTTTGTTTGTCAATTGTTATTCTAAGGTAAACAATTATAGAGTAAAACGTGACTTATGGTACAAGCATTGAGGCGTAAAATTGAATGGAATGTGAAAGGAGATCAAAGACATTGGGAACATAAAAAACACAAATGTGAGGTATACCATGAAGAAGTTTTATACCACCTGGCGAATAATGTAAAATAATAGGATGTTTTATCATACAAAGTAAGATACTGTGACAAGGATTAATTGTTGAAATTACATACAAAAACCCAATTCATATAGTTTTATGAAAATTTTATTTTAAAGTAGAAAATCAACTGTATAAAATATTTACCCTGATTTTAAATAACTAACAAAATAAATCACTAATATAATCTCCTTTGATATGTATACCAGAACTATATTACATACACTAGTTTTAAAGTCATGTGTGACACAGTTCTTAACCTCATAATAATTATTCTAAACATAATGATTATTCTAAACATAATACACAACATTGTTATATCCTATCTGCCTTCAAACAAAAGATACTAAATTCAGTACAACACTTCACCCCATTATGTGTTCATGTGATTATATCTAGGTACATTTGAAAGTGTGTTAACTAAAATGTAGTCACATTTCAAAATTAAATATTAAGGTTAAAGTTTTGTAATAGATGAATAGGACCATACCACTCTTTAGGGGAGAAAGGAAGGCTTTAAAATGAAAGACGTTCACACAAAAATAATATTTTAAACCATTTTTTATACATTAATTAACTCCACCATTAACTATTACATGTTGCAAATAAAAAGAAAATGATACAACATAAAAAAACTAGAATAAGAAATGATAACTAAAATGAGTAATGTTAACTAAAATAAGTAATGTTACTAAAATGAGTAATGTTAACTAAACTAGTAATGACAACTTAACCAAGTAACAATAAAAAACAACAACAACAAAAAAAAAAAAAAAAAAACAGTAAGACAATTGTGAACAACATGGATTCAAAATAAGACCTATCTATCCGCACAGTCTCATTAATAAAAAATTCACGCATCACACATACACCAGTGGAAACTGTGCATCCTAATGGATCAATGTTGCTCCCTTTTTTTTATAAAATCTATGTTCTTATAACATGATTCAAAAATATATTCACAACTACTCCGATAAAAAGGCAATCAACATAAAACCTAAAAATATATAAACCTTTTGGAATGATTTAATCAACATTTTGTGGAATGTTTAAATCAACATTATGAATGTTAACAAAAATAAATTGCTGTTGTTGCACCAATGTCACAGAGGGAGGGACAACAACAGCAAAATCAACAACAGCAAATCTAGCAGCATTAACAACAACAAGCACTAACATCAGTAGGACATACCACGAGATTAAAACATGCAATTGAAGAATTAAATTTACAACACAGGCAACGAGGAATCGGACGTGGTGCAATGTTGCCTTACATCCTACAACAGTTAGAAGATGAGAATTTATAAGGTGAATAAAACTGTAATAAAAACATCATATTTTTTTTAGTATAAAACAAGTGAACTGAAAAGAAAAAAGGTTATTAAACATGAATTATTAACAAATGAACCTTAGCAAGTGTATTCCATTTGAAATAAAAGTGTATCATTTGAATAATTTAGTGTCTAATTTGGAGAAGTTAAGATAAAAAAAATGGCCTTAACAAAAGTTGTGTCTGATTTAACTCATATATTAAAGGAAGTATGGATGAAACAAAAAAAGTATCAGAGGAGTTAATAAGTGTTAATGAGAAAAAAATAGAGAAAAAAAGAAAGATAGATCATTTAAAATATGTAATTGATGAATTGCATGATGAAGTTGGTACACTACTGAATAAAATCAGACGACTTGAATTTCAAATTTATTTACCAAGGTCTAACAGTGATAATGATATTAATACAAACACAGAGGAAGAAAACACTGACTAAAAAAATGTAAGTATCTTTATAAACAAACTTTGAGATAGAATATTACCAAATAATCTAATATAAAGTAAATATCATCAAATATTAAATCAAATATTAAGATAAATGTTCTTTAGTACATGATTTGCTTATGAAACTAACTATAAAATTAAAATGTCAGTATTTTTATTAACAAACTTTGAGGTAGAATATTACAAGGGAAAAATAGGTCCAAAGTTCTACACAATATCACGAGATAGTTTTGAATGAACGACTGGTACTTAAAAGTCACACTTGTGTTTTGAGGTAATTTAAAAGAAGTTTAGTTCAGAAAAAGTTTGTTGCAATGCATAATTTCTATTAAAACTGCTTCATTCTTCTTTCACCAATGAAAATAGGTCCATGTTTACTAAATATTCATTCGCAACTCACCGCGTGACCTTTTATTCGCAAAAACCACTACCTTACTGTATTAGGCTATCATTACGTCAAACGGATATCATTCAGGGTACACAGTGCTGAAAGTTCTTTGTCTATTGTCATCAATGGAAAATAAAGTCTGTATTTGCTACTTTTATAAAGGTTTCACAATTTATAAGCTTACTACTACATTAAAACTGTACCCATAAGCATTGGAAAAGGGTGAACAAAGAGACTGTTCAAAATGACATGAATACCTCTTTCGGTTATAAAAGAATACAGCAACCGTTGAGGATAGACACATATATTTTTTAAAAAAGTAACAAATAGAGCACAAATGTATTCAATAAACACATGTTTCAATGTAAATTAAGTAAAAAGAACAGTATGACATTAAAAAAATATAAAAAAAATACGAAAACATAAGTTAAGTTTATTTAGCTATCCTTCCGAGTATCGTACATAAGATAACGCCAAACAAATGATAATGTTTTTGAATGTATAAGTAGAGAAATAAAATTGATTATAATATTCTTCTAAAATCATGTTGTTTTTTTTTCATCTGATCACACTGTCAAACTGTTTCCCATCAAAACTAAAAGATATTCTCTATCCACTGCTTTTTCCCCAGTACTTGCATTATGTTTAAAAAAGAACCATTACAGTTTAAATGATGCTATGACATAATTATAAAGTTAAAACAAAACATTTAAGTCACTGTCTTGGTGCTCAAGCAATTCACTAACTTATTGCGTACATTGGTATGCAGATACATTTGATATATAGATATGTATATATATTGATATGTTTATATACCTTATTTAATATTATATCTAATAAAACTTTACTACTCGTATCTTCACGGTCGTTTGCGTTTTATTACCCATACGAAAAAAATAGACATAGATTACAGTTTAGTATTTTATTTTATGTTGACATGCCTGATTAAACAAATTCACATTGGATATACAATGAGGGTACAAGTACAACATACATTCAAATATATATACCGATCATTCGAAAAAACCTGTAGTACTAAAGTCCTGTATAATGTCATTAGCAGTCCTTTTAATCAGTCTCTAATAGAGATAATGTAAACAATACAAATCACATACACTGGAGTTGTCACTTTGTATTGTTTTAAGAGTTTGTCCAGGCAATCGTCCATAACTATCAAAGATGTCAACATTGTCGAATGATGATAAAAAGAAAGCACAACAGTGTTGTCCTTCTGCTTTTATTGATGGCAATTTTGCATCTAAATGAGGTACTGTATACTTATCCAATGACAGTATTTGAGAATTCCTCGTACCACCCTTCTGGAAAAGCTTGGATTTTCCATCAGCTACTTTATCAAAAAATGCATCCAGCTTTGTGGATTAGGTACATACATTTTAGAATTATTAATAGCTTAAAAATTGATATGCCTTTAAATGAAGTGTCAAATGCAGAGGTGAAGCTAAGAATGAGGGATCACTCCCGTCTTCGCATTTTATGTACACCATAAAATCCATAAGTTCCTTCTGTCTAACTGGTAAATAATACACCTTGTCAAATTGATAGCCCCAACCCGTTTTAGTATTTTTTTCTACCCGTCTCAGGAGTGGTCTTTCTGAATGGTGCACAATGCTTTCTATACAAACGTCAGTGTAAATGTAGAGCACTTCGTTTGTGTTATCCACTTTTGTTTTTGATCTGGCTGTTGTGTCAGTAGCATAAAATTCAGTTAAACCTATTTTTCCAAAATCCCATCAAAGGTAAAGATGCATTCAAAGTATACACTTGATTGTCCGTAAAATACGTATCACTGCTATCGCTTTTTATGTAAATGTACCGATCCATAATTTTAAATGGAGTGTTTAACTGAATAGGTTTCATTTCGTCAGCATCTACCCAACTGTAAAATGA